GTTTTTAATTCCTTGTATGTTTTCTTCCTTTTGTTACTCTTTTTCCCGTCTATGAATGTTTGTTAGGTGTTAATCTGTGTCACATCATTTTGCTGCCATTTTGGTCCCATGCTGGTTAAATAACGTTCAAGCAAAAGTTTTTTTGAGAAAAAGAGACACACACTCCCTTGTTTCATGCTAAATTAAGTGAGAGCAGGTATTGAGCACCTTCCACGTCTAAACCTTTTGCTCAGACACTCTAGTCACGCTTGATGATTTTTTGATTAAAGAATATCTTTGGTTAGAGGCCACAGTAGGTGACAGAAAACATGCTGTCATTAGAAGATTAAATGTAATAATTTCACCACAGATCAGCGACGACCCAGTCACATCTTTTTGAGGCTGTCAAATGATGTCTCACTCTTGCTCGGAGTTGCCAAACCTCCGCTGGACCAAACACTGACCTTGGCAGTCAGTGGTGTCACATTAATCAGCCAGCAGCTCCAGGGTGGATGTCCTCACTTTGATCTCTGCCATACCTGAGCGCAGCGCTGTGTCCGTCTGCACTGTTACCTGAGCTGACTGGCATTCTTGATTAAAAGACAGTGGGCATCAGTGTAGCAGTGCACCTCTTCTCTAATAGATCATGGTAATGAAGTCACTGTGCTGTGGCGGGTGGCAGGTGATTAATACACACAAGTCATTAAGTCTGCTGTATAAGAGTGTGCCTCTGGTGGTGGTGGCCTTTGCTTGTTTAGAGATAAATCTGAGGACTAAGTGGACGGGGCACTGGCAGGGTGACAAAACAGCATGTATGTTCATGTTGGGTGTTCTGAGAACAGCAGGAAGATTGTTGGATTATATAAACATTTAACCACTTGTGCAACCGGTAAACAGTCGGTGGCTGGACTACACAATACGGCAGTCCAGTATTATTGTTCAGAGTGTTTTAGTCATGTCGTCATTATGTGAAATCATTATACAAATGTCATATATCTGAATTGGATTTTTGAAACATGAAAACGAAATGACTTTTATTCACACATTAAAAATTATAATAATATGAAGGTTTGATGATACATAGTGCAGTTTGTTTTTGTCTGAATGTCATCTAGCCATATGAGCAGAGTAAAGGAGGACACTTTGATGACTTAATCAGGAATTATATGTGTTACTGTCTATGTTACCACACGACTGTAGCATTGTTAATTATTGCTAGTTTGAAAATCAGTGCTAATTATACTGTATATGTTTGTGTTGGTGCTGCCGTGGTTGCCATGGGTGCCACTGGAGCTATAACTACCTCTGTTGTGTCGGTGCTGCTGTGCAGTTTTCTGTAGAGACTTGAAATCCTTTTAAAAGCTTTTTTTGTATGAAGCCATTGTCTTTAAGAGGGTGTGCAGTAATGGGCACAGCATGTTTCACACTGAGAGTTTTTATTTATTTGCACAGAATTTAAACAATGGATTTTAAAAATAGCATGCAGGAGGGTAAAACATTAAGAGGATTGTAAATTACCACTACTCTAACTAGTTTAATTGACTTTATTTGCCTTGTGAATGCTTATTTTATGTTAGTACAAATAATATTAATACCATATAAGACTATAGTTAAAAAACATGCTTTAAATTTGCTTATTTCTTTGTATATCTTTGGTAAATATTCATATAAACAGCTTGAAAGTAGACTCTCAGTCTTTGGCAGCCCATCACCTCTTATCTGTTGCGCCATCAAACAGCATCATTTTGACAGTCATTTTAAAAGGAAAATACCAACGCAGGGACATAAAGCACTTGGCCTGCTGTGCTGCAGACAAACACAGAGATACATTCACATTCTTGCAGTCAGAGATGAAGCTTTAGAATAGATGACTGATCATTTTCCTCCCCAAGGAGAGAGTTTCCAACCACAACAGACATTCTAATAGACCATGAAGCTCAGCTCCAGATGTAGCTTCTCTCATTCTTCATGTGCAGAGTGATGGACATGGCTGTTGAGGCTGGAGCAGGCCAGGATACGTGCTTTACTTACGTAAACACTCTCGTGAGGCCCTGACACTTCGTCCTGTTGTAAACAGGAAGCAGAGACGATTCTGGAGATCTGGCCTCTTCTTTTTTAGTTGCACTCAAGTCTTTACTGTCTTTGGCTTGGCTTGTATCATCATCATAAGAAATAATGTTGGTATAGTTATGTGCATTGACTTTTGTCTGCATTTTACTGCATTAACAGAATTTTGCTCAGTGGGAGACAGTTATTATAGATGGATAAGATTTTACACAATTCCCCAGGGTTGATAGTCACTGTGCACGTTGTAGTGTTGTACAAAAAGTACTTCACATGTTATCAGTCACATCTGGGCTGCATGCACACAACTTTCCAAAAACCGATTAAGATTTAGAGACTTTTAAAATGACCATTTTGGGGAAAAGGCTCCATATGTTAGAACTCATCTTCTGTATATTTTCTCATTTTCAGTTTAAAACACAATCCAAAATCTTTCATCATGCAAAAGTATTAAATATACACCACCAGATAACATCATTTGTTTCAATAAAACAATGTCAAGTATCCATTCAAGATGTGTAAATACGTAAGGCTAATATTAACTACTATATACAATGAGCTGTACTTACATTTACAAACTTTAGGAAAAGATCTATAAAGGGTGCCAAAACTTAAACTTCAACAGTGATACCAGAGAATGTTGCTCTGTGCCTTTGACTCTATTTGGGCGTAACAAATTGTACAAATTTCACTAACTCTTAGCTTTGAACCCTTTCTAATGCTGAAAGGTGAATATTTTGCTCAAAGCATTCAAAGTCAAAGAATTGCACAGTCATCCTTCAGCACCTTATTTCAGCTGGCCAGAAAAATACACACATTTTGATGATGTCAGGAGCAAAAACATCCCTTATATGGTTGCACACAGATCCCGTTTCCCTTTATTTGGAAAAGCAGAAAATGCAGAGCAATTTGGAATACTAGGGTGCAAAACGGGCTGCAGCTCTATCCAAAATAAACTTTGAGATTCCCAATTCCAGTTTTCGGGCACGTTTGTGCATAGCAGAGTGGTTAGTCACTGCGCAATTCACTGTGTGTTGACACAGACAGACTCCTGTTTAATGTCATTTTTCTAACCCCTAAATGTTGTATTTCCCACATATTGTTAGTTCCTAATCCCAAAATGATGCCCTTTAGTTAGGAGCTATAAATTGCTGTAGAAAAACATTTCACGTGTAGGCTTGTGTGCATAGTGATGGATAAGTACAAGATAGTTGATAAATGCAAACCAATGCAGGAACAACACACTCCGAAAATCAAAACCTCTGACTTAAATAAGAAAGTTTTTCTTGGCAGGGCTTGTTCACTGCTGTACTTGCATGTGAGCGATGAAGAGAGGACCGGTGAGTTACATCAGGAGGCGATGGAGAGAGCTATTAAGTACTGAGTAAGAGTCAAAGAGAAAAGGAGCTGGCATTTTCCCCAAGGACAGCTGATAAACCGTTTGGCAGGAAAGGCCTTGCAAATGACTGCATTCCAAGTTAACCTTGTAAGGCTATTTTTACCACTGAAGGGACTGTTGAGCGGGCATCTTTTGTTCGCCCTACAGTGTGAAACAGGAAAGACTGGTTTGCATTGTGCCCCTCTGGGAGTTTGGCCCCCGATCTCTGTCTCTCATCAGGATCCAACCGTCCATCCATCCTAATGTCAAGCTCTGTTTATGCAATGCATCTTCACCACTCCCGACAGATGAACCCGCTAACTCTGTGGCACTGTTCAGTGTAAAGTAATGCAAATAGGAAGCTGACACTGTGCACATATTTCAAGATAAAGCAAAGACTCCAGATTAGGAAGAGTAAAGTTGGAGGTTTTCCCAGCCAATATGCATGGTCTCTGCCTAAATAATGAAAGCTAACTCCCTTCTTCTTTGTCAAAGGGATGTTTGCTCCCAGCATGTTTATACATGTCTTTTATTGTGTTTTCAAGGGACATTCCGCTGGTCAAAAATCCCCCTCTGACTGTCCCCAGGAGGTGAAAGGCCCTTATGCAGACTGTTTTCCTGTTGCCTTCCTAGAGTCCATCTGGTGTCGGGCTAGTGTTTGTGCTGCAGCTCCTCAGGGATTCCTGGAAGTGAATGTGATCATGTCTTAAGAGGATTAAGAGGAGACCCTGGTTGTGTTGAGGCACAGGGTCAATATCGCTGTCAGTGTGGGAATGACCTCATCTGTCATCGTGTATCTATCAGTGCGTTTACAATCGCTGAAGTGATAAAAATTACCGTTGGCTTTCTGCAGGGACTTTGTTGTTTAAAACCAAAAACTTTAGATCAGAGAAAAGAATCTGTGATTTTGAAAATAAGATTTCTGTTGGGAAAAACGATTTTCTTGGCCAAGTTTAAAGGGTAACCAACCAGCTGCGTCTATCCACAGTTATTTAAGGTCAGAAAAAACCTGACACTAAAACTAAAATAGCAGGTTTAGATAAGTTTTCTTGGCCTGGGACAACTATGTCTTCACCAAAGGGCCTGGTCAGTCAGATGCTTGGATGAAAAAGTATATTAAATATCTTGAAATGGGCTAACAATTAAGGGTCCTGGGTTAACAATTATAGCTTTGCTGGTGAAGAAGTTGGCTTATCGATAAGCTACCTAAATGTGGGTTTTACAGTAACTTGAGGCCTGTTTTTGAGCACAGAAAATTGTGGCTGCACAAGTAATTCCTGACAAATTTGCCAGTCCTGTAGCAGTCCTGTACAGCATCTGTTGTGAAGAGTGAAATATATCAAAATTAGGGACAAGAAAATTTTTGTAGATGGAAGCCACTGCTTGAAGGTTGTACATTTGTAAATTTAAACCCAGCTTATTTCTATGTGTTCTCTAATTTCCTGCCTTGACCTGATTCCTCCCTTTGACTCTTGTGTCTTGTGTTCATATAGAACTATTCACTGTCTGTCTACCCACTGCTAACCAAATATGTCTTTTTTCTCTTTTCCTTATTTCATCTCTCAATATCTCCTCTCAGAGCCTGGATGAGCTGGATGATGATGACGCAGGGGAGAAGGACAGGAGGGAGGAAGAGGAGCTGGTCCAGGCCAACACTTTCCAGAATGAGGCCATGACAGCCGACCCCGCCACCGGCTACTTACTGGTAAGAAGCAGTATGACAAGAAGACGAAGGAGAAAGCCGCACACTCAGATGGAATCTTTTTTTTTTTTTTTTTTTGTATTCCGTTTTACGAATCTCACGACGTCCATAGAGTAAAGCCTGTGTTTTCCGGCTTGTTATGTCTGTTGTATAGATTGTTACATCGGTGCTGCCAAACAGAGGCACTGTTGCTCAGGGAGACACCAGCAGAGCTCAGGAGCTCAGTTTTGTGAAAAGCTGCAGTGATGCAAAACCAAAAGGTGTCTCGGTATTTCATCATCACTGAGAAATCAGGTTAAAAGCAAAAAGAAACACCCTAAAATGCTGTTAAAGCTACTTGGAGACAGACTTCTTTACAAGTCTGGAGTGTTTAGCCTTTGGTATTTTGGGGGGCTTTTTTTTTTTTTTCTTTTCGCTTCAGCTGGTGAAACACAGACAGTCTGACAAAACACTGAAATATTTCCAGAACAGTAGTGCTTGCTTTAATAATTGATAAATCTCTGGGTTTGTGATTGTTGGTCAAACAGGAGAAGCAATTTATAGGTGTCAACTTGTGAGGAGTATTTTTAACCATTTGAGGCTGATTTAAAAACTATCCATCCGTCCATTATCTATACACCACTTAATCTTCACTGGGGTCGCAGGGGGGCTGGAGTCTATCCCAGCTGACTTAGGGTGAAGGCAGAGGACACCCTGGACAGGTCACCAGTCTATCACAGGGCTACACTTAGAGACAGACAACCAAGCACACTCACATTCACACCTACGGACAATTTAGAATCACCAATCACCTCAGCATGTTTTTGGACTGTGGGAGGAACCCAGAGAGAACCCACGCTGCACGGGGAGAACATGCAAACTCCACACAGAAAGATCCCGGGTGTCCTCACCGGAACCGGCGACCTTCTTGCTGTGAGGCAAAATGCTACCAACTGCGTCACCTTGCAGTCTGATTTAAAAGCTAATAAAAATATATATTCTAATGATTAGCTGTAGTTCCAACATGAGCAGAAGTAACTACTTAGTGTAGCTGTGTGAAGGCCAGGCCAACAACGTAAAGAGCCACATTCATCAAACTTCATTTGGAGGCCAGTGTTCGCATCTGTTCTGCGTTCAAGTTGTCTGATTTTACGAGGCAGAATCAGATACTGTTGATGTTTACAGAATGAATCTTTTAATCTTGGCAGGTAATATTGTGTTTATGTAATTGAAATGAACTCTTGCAGAGACAGTCTGCTCTTCCTCTGAATAAGTCAAGGAGGTGCTCCATGAAACGAGGACAGAAACGAATTGGTATAAACGAAACACAAATAGAAATGACATGCTAGTAATTTGAGTCTTTTATTTTTGACAAGAACAGTAGTTTATATTCTGTGCTGTGTGTGTAATTTCGAAACTCGCTTCAGATGCTCACATGGTGATTTTTAATACGAAATTGAGCGCAGAGAGGATATGAAAAGCGTCCTGCTGGGTAACAATAGCTGTAACATCCTATCTGTTTTTGTGTTTCTGTAAAAAATCGTCTGACTGACATGAAAATTGCCATTTAAAAGAAATAAACAAAAATATCAAATGGCTCTGCTGCTGTGTGACAACTCTTGTGGATGTAGCTTGGAGTTGTGTTCCAGATGGATAGGCTGTTATGCATCAGCAGGCTTATTTTGTTTTGGGCTGGAGCTGTCTAAGGCTGTTTACGCGAAGCAAAGGCTTGTGTATGAAATATGTACACAAACACCACACTAACAGGAAGATTGTGACAGCACCTGCTGAGACGTGGCCTCGATTGGGGGAGGGGAAGGGGAGGGGAGCTACGGATTCGACTATTTACATAAAGTAGTCTACATGTAAACAAACAGAAAGCAGTTCAGTAAAATTGTCTTTCTGATGCTTTGCCACACATCTGGTTTTGTGAGGAGACCCTCAGTCCATCGTCATCTGAAACAGAATATGTTTCATGATGCCCACTGAATCTAATTTTCCCACCTTTATGTTGGCTATAATGCAGACCAGATGTGGCTATGCAGAAAGTAACCATTAGATGTCTCACTGACACTCATATTAAGCTGATGTCTTTCTTCTGCTGGGGGTTCTGTGCCAGCTTGCTCATAAGACAGCAGACCGGGAGAAATAAAAAAGCAGGGGGGATACAATTCGGTTAGTGGATTTACTGCAGAGCTGTCAGTAAGACATCTGTAAAGACAGAGCATCTCAAAAATGTGCCGTTCCTCTCGGGGCCCATTTATCAAGGGGGGAGACAAGCAATTGCCATGTCAGGCCCATTATGATATACAACATCGAGCCAGACCTCTTAGCCGGTATCAAGATATCTGCACAAAAAGTTTTGAAAAGAAGCTCAACTTCTGTTCAGAGCTATGTGACTGTTAGCTGTCTCCTGAAGTCCTGGAGCATTTTCCAACCAAAACAGGCCGTAACTCTTCTGTGTTAGCTGCTGAAGACATAATGGAAACTCCAACAAGAATCATGGAGTATGAAATATTTTATCAGATGTTTCAAATTCTGTAATGACATCTTTTTTCCACTTCGTTCTGAGGCGCCCAAGATACATTTAAATTAGTTTGATATGCGTTCTCTGTGTGTGTACTAGAGCGTGGGCACAAGCTGTTCTTCTCCATGTGGCAGAACACATGTATCTGATATGTGTAGGCTCTGTGATATCCAGAGAGGCCCTCTGCAGGCATGTGGTCCTGGTTATTAGGACTTACCTCCCTCTGGTATGCAAGTCCTACAAGGAAACCTGTTCCAGTGATCCAGCAGACAGAACCATATGGAACATTCCTCAGGATCATCTGCTTTTCATGTGGCGCCAGGTCCACAGCAGACCGGTTCAGGTCTCTTTCTGTCTCTCTCTCTCTCACCTGGAGAAGACATACTGGTAGCATTCTCCATCCAGCACTTTTTAACAAGCCTCATTTGCATTTTTAATTAGCACCTTTCATTCCTAAAACGATGCTGATGTAGAGCATCTTGCCTGAACAGCAGGGAAATGTTCACTAAACGTCACATGGCATTTCCAACAGGAGCAGCAGAACGTGTGCTAGCAGTAAACTGCTTTTCATTTTGTTTCCTGAAACAGTTTATCCGATTCACGTGTTGATTTTGAGATTTTAAGGATTATAGATATATGATAAATATAAGCCACATCAGTATTTATCTTTGACTGCATAATTGAGCTTTAAATATGAACACTTAAATGTAAGTATAAGAGCTAGGATGCAATAACAGATTAAGCATCCTTGATTTTATTTTCTAATACAGGCATTGCTTCTGTGAACAAATGGGTCACCTAATAGTCTTGTTTGACTAACACACATGCAGTAGCTGCAAAAAGGGCAAGAGGTTAGGACGCCGTTCTGCAGCTGTTTACAGTGCAGTTTGTAGGTTAGTCTTGTTTTCCTCTTTAGCCTTCGATTTATGTTTCAGGTTGGCATTTTGACATCGATTTCTTCAGATGGCATCAGAGACTGTCAGAGCTAGGTGTGGTTAGCATCTTTATAAAACGTGTGAGATAACTGCAGAAAATCTCATAACAACAGAGCAGAAAGGCACAATAGGTGCAACGCTGGCCTATAATCACTATGACAAGCACGTAGACACCATTAACAGATAGTTTCAAATACATGCATCTGTTTTCATTTAAACAGATTCAGCTCTGGCTGTTGGTCTCCCAGGGTTCTGGGATTATCTGGTGCCCTGGTTTTCCTGGTTCATGTTGTTGGCCTGTGTACTTCTTTAAAATGCCAATCATGGATCTTGTTTGAGCGTCTTTTAGAATTTATTGAATGCCTCCAGTAAGATTGTGATCTTCATCAGCTTTCCTCAGAAAAACAGTCTGAGCACTGGGCTTGATGGAATTCAAAAACTTTTCATAGGCAAGGATGGCGGTCCTTTAGGGATTTTTAAATTTAATGAGCTGTCAAGACATGAATTATAGATCACACCAGGCCAAACGTGTTCAAGCGAGACATTTGAATGGGGTTTTTATCACAAAGTGGTGTGGGGTGTTGTGAAAAAGTCCAGCCACACAGGCACAGAAATGTACATTAGGGGTAATGTGCTTGAGTTCAGTGATAAAGTACTTGTTATACTGCAGATATTTGTCTCTGTATATTCTTAGTAACTCTGAGCTCTGCAGTGTGGCTTATGGGAGCTGTCAGCGCCCCTCAAGCATGATAAATAAAGTTGCACCGGCCGTATTGTGTGCAGTGAAGTAGTTGTACATGAATTACATTGACCTTGCCTTACAGATTCATATCTCAGGCAGGTGTGGCTCTGTGAAGCACTGGTGCTGCAGTAATGTGGCAAATCAAGTCTGCTCTCTGACGTTTCCAGCCTTAAACCAGCAACAGAAGGGGTTAATCAGTTTATATTTATAATTTTCTTTTTTTGGAGGGAAAGATGAGCTGCAAGCTACTGTATATGTTTAAAAGATGCTTGATACTGCACAGTTTAACCCTCTTTTACAGGTTAAAAAGCAGAACTTTACAACAAATCAGAAACTAATTAAAATGTTTTCTTCTGCTGCTGAATTTGATTAATTGTTCATTCCTATGAGAGGATTTGATATAAATAATAGTGAAATTTAGATGATCAAAAAAGCAGAAAAAAGGACTGTTTTTCACTATTGTTTTCTTGCCTCAGTGTAGATGGCAGACTAAAGTTATTACTAAAATGAATATGGGCAGAACTTTCTTTGACACATGAAGGGCATTTTCTGTGTATCTGCATTAGGGTGGACATGTTGCCTCTGTGTTACCGACTCAAACTGTCTGCAGTACTTAGACTATGTGGCCAGGCAACTTGGCACAAGATTCTGACAAAGTGTGAGAGATTAAAACAGATCAAGCGAATTCATAATTATTTGTATTGTGCTTTTTGTGCACAAATAATTTCTGTAGTGTGTTTGCTGACTCCCCACAAGGGTGTATAAAACAAACGCACCTCCTTACTGTCTACTTACTAACCGTAACAGTCATGCTGATGAACTTTGCAGCATATTGTTGTGAATAAGGTGGCTGCTGTTTTTTTGGTTTAGCTAGCTACCTGTGGCTCAGGCTAAGCTTGGATTTCCAAATGGTAACATAGGCGGGGAACTGAGTGTCTCTCAGGAGAGAGTAGCTGTAACCACTAACATTGCTAAATTTCTGATTATACATTTACTACCATATCTAAACTTAAGTAAAGAGGTATTTGACAATGCTATGATATGAATATAAATATTTTCTAGAGATGACAGTGAATCCAGACAGATTGGACTGATGCTGTGACAGTATTGGTGGACATCTGTTCCAGATGAGCAGCTGTTTCCAGCAGCTGGACTACTTTAACTACAGTGAACAAGTCACTATATCATCTAGATCAGCTATGAGGGTTATTTTAATATCAAAGAGATCAATAATGTAACAGGTTATTTACTGTGGAAGAATACAGCTCATTTGATGTGTCAAATACTTTGGATTTAGTCTGGTTAGTTGCTGAAGTGCATTTTTCCCTCTGATGTTTAATTTAATTCAACCCTTGTATGAACACAGACCAGACAGCGAGCAGACCGTACTGAGATATTCACTGATTTAGACAAAAACGGTATCATACAGTCAAAGTGTGAAGAGGCCATATAGTCACTACATATGCTGTTAGTCAGTAATAAAGACTCTGATCGGTGATGTTGTGCTGCCAAGCCAGCAGCAAACTTCATAGACTGATGCATCTATTGACCTACAACAAACACCATGGTTTTATTTTACATATTAAATTCCAGGCAAAAGATTTTTAAATGCTCACTTTGACATGTTTACGTGTATAAAGTATTCTGCCATAGCTGCGGTGGCTATACTCGGCATCACATTACTCTTGCTCTTTTGTTTTGCGTGTGCATGTTACAGTGTGCAAATGAGGACTGGCACAGTGCCATCGGCATCTGACTGCTGTGACCTTCCTTCATATTGTTGTTTTGACTCATATTTCACCCTCAGAAAATAATCGGTCCAGTTCATTGATCCTTATCTATCAGCCATTGCACTTGGCATATGAAACCTTGGCTCATGCAATATCCTACAAAATGGATGTGTTGAATTTTCCAGGGAAATATGAAAGCAAATAATTATTTCCTACACAGTCAGGAGACCTGCAGGCTTCCAGGACAATTTATTCAATATATTCAAAGAATCCTGTTGGTTTATTCAAGTTATACTAGACTGCAGAGGCAAGAGAGTTAACCCACATTTACATTTAGACAGCATTTTTTATTTGTATACGTCGAATTGTTTGACTGAAAAATCCACAGTTTTTAATTGTGATTGCCATTTTTTAAATCAAAAGATTTGAGAAACTCTGGAAAACAGTGAAGGATAATTTCAGTGTTGTTCAGCATTTTTTAGACTAAACAATCAATGAGCAATAAACAAAGTAGTTTTTAGTTGCAGTCCCAGTCTTGTTCGCATTTTGTATGAATCTTAAGTCGGCTGGCTAGAGCATCCTGTGGCCTGATTTTCTGTTTACAGGACTGGGGGCCAATTTTGCAGGAAAATGGAGGGACAAAAGAGAGGAAAAAACAGCACTATTCTCACATAGCCAGATCTAGCTCTAGACTTTGTTTTAGCACTGTGCCAGCACTGTGAGTCAAATGTAGTCTGAAATATAGTTGATAGTAAAACTAAAGTACAAAACAGAACCGAGTAAGCCCGTGTGCAGATTCACTTGAATGTTGAATAATTTAAATTTGCATCACATCTCACTATTTGTATTATTTCTAAGCTGACCAGTAAACTCTTTTCTCCTATGAACAATAAAAAACAAATGCTTTGGAAAGACCATTGAAAATACAGACGTCAAGGTAGAAATTCAATGGAACTAAAGTAAATACACCTGTGATTTCCAGTTGGCTGAATTGCACAAACATGGATATAAAATAACCAGTGAACACCAGAACTTCCTCAGTTTTGGACCTGTAGGTTTTGTCTGTCTAAATGTTTGCATCATGGCTCCACATGAAAAGAAATTGCCAGAGGGCCTAAAAAAGTTTTAGGCTTCAGACTTGTCTTGGGGGTGGAAATCAGAGTTTCTGTGACAGTTCAGGCAGTGTGAACAACGCTGCAGGTCAACTTTTATAGACAGCATCCAAGAGAAAACCCTTCCGTGCTTTATGGCACTGAACTGCAAGATAGCTGAAGTGCATGATAAGAACCGTGCTCAATATTGGAGCACATTCTTTGGTCCGATGAGACCAAAATAAATTTGTTTGACTCAGATGCAGTACAGCATGTTTGCCATGAATCTGGTCAGGACTACCACAGTGATTATAAAGTCCTGACAGTGAAGCGCGGATGTGAAAATGTGATGCTATGGAGCTGCATGAGTGAAAAAGATGTTGGAAAGGTGACATGTATAGATGGCACGATGAATGCCTGTGGATATATGAAAATACTGTCTGACCAGATGACTCCCAGTCTGCAGAAGCTTGACAGAAAAGGAATATTACAGCATGATAACAATCACACAAGAATTTCATAGGCGCCTGACTTCAGTCCCATAGAAAACCTTTGGGATATTTTAAAGAGAACGATCTTTAAAACACAATCCCTTCAACAAAGAGCAGCTGAGAGAAATGGAGTCCTAAAAGATGTCAGTTTGTAAAATCCAGTTCAACAAATTGCTCTTAACTACAGATGTTGCTTGAACTTGGCCTGATGTTCAGATGTGGCATTCTTTAGTGTAAGACTTACTGCTCCCGTATACTGCCCTCTTACTGTCCTCCATCTTTGTAAATCTATCCAAGCCTGAGTCAGAGAAGAGATGAGGGTCGGGATTTCATCCACATCTAATGGATGATGTGTCAGTGAGACAGAGAAGCTGGTGTATGCTAAGAGTCGGGCAGAAGCCAAGCTCTGACTGATAGATTGGAGCAGAGCCTCAGCTCCTCAATCAAACTTGGGGCCTTTGACTGCACAAGACCTTAGGAAAGAGGAGATGCGTATTCATCTCACAGTATCTGTGACACACACTTCATTTTTCGAGAGCAGTGCTATTTTACCGAAGGCAATTTTATTGGAGCGTCACTGTTGTATGGATCTAAACAACCTTTAGATCATACAGAAATAGGAAAAATAAGATAAACATGCACCTCCATGTTGCAAAACAAGATTGCCTTCCACAACTTGGGGCTATTGGTCTCCTGCTGAGCTATTAAATGCAACAAAGCTCATATATATCAGCTCAGCAGCTGCGATTCGCAAACGGTCATACACAACCTAAAGGCTCTCTATAAATGCTACCCCTGACAAATGTATTTTTTTTTTCTTCTTTGGGGAACCAACACAACCCAAGGCAGGTGAGCACAATGTGACGGTGATACCTGAAACCTCACCTTGCTGTTATTCTCAAATTACTATTTGAAAGTAGAGACTTAACAGGTAGAAAATGTCACATTTTTTTAAAGCATTGTAATATGTTTTTAGATTTCACAACATGGAGTTATTGTCCTTGGACTAAAGGCATTCATTTTTCATGTGTTGTGTTTTTTTTTTTTTCCAGGAGACCCCCAGATCTGGAAGTGGCCGCCACAAGAGGTGAGACTCATCTTTTTATTCCTGACTGAGAGTGGAGTTTATCTGCCTTAGCATCAGTAGCAATGTGTCAAAAGGAGGAACAGAGGCTGGTATGAGAAAACAGCCGTTTGAATCATTAATTATCAGAGCAGATTTCCTCTGAAATCGTCTGAGGGCTTTTTTCCTGATGTGTCACTGTTGTTGTTGTTTTCCCTGCCATGCTGGTTATTTCTTGCTATTTTGGTTCAAGAGGGATGATGGTTGATGGCTGTTTTGAACAGTAGTTGACAGGACACCATCTGGACCTCGGACACTTTGATCAGGCCATCACTTCCCTGCTGTGGCTGGAAGGGAGTGTTGAAAGTGAAGGATTTGTTTTGAAAAGGTTTTGGGTCTAAAATAAGTGGTTCGGTCAAGTTTGCTTTGGCATTTGATAAGGGGCTTTCACGCTTTTTCTTTTTTTTTTTTTCCGACAACCTGCAAAGAAAGAATGTTGAGACCTCATGCTGGGCTGGTATTTTGTGTTTCTCACATTTTATTGTAAAGGTTTAGTCGGGAACACAGCATTGGTGTTAAAACATATTATTTTATCTCCTTGCATTACACCACAACAGCTGTCGGAATTTGTGGTTATTGTCTGAATTGCTCACAGCCCAGACAGATTGTTTTTCCTTTCTGCATGCTTGACATCATGTTATTATGAAGTACATCATAGAAAATTGTTTGTCACTGGAAGCCGAAGACTCCTCAGAACCTCTTCATGAGTCCAACGTGTATTTATTTTGCTTTATTCGCAACCAAATTGAGAAGTTGTGGCCAACCCCAACAGCCAGGTTCACCAGCTGACATTCAATCTGGCCGTGTAATTATGGCTGTTGCACTCATCAGCTGGCCTGGCTACACTTGGACGCTCTGCGGCTCAGCAACGGATAACCCGCCAGGTGGGCAGGGCAGCACAAGATGGCTGAAAGAGCAACTTTAGAGCTACATGTTTTCCTCTGATTCACTTCCTTTTCAAACTATTCCCTTGCACACTTTGCCCCTGTTCTTCACAAAACACTTCCATGTTGTGCAGAGATGTTACACCAAATTCCATTCAGGTTTTACAGTTAGGCTCCAGTGATTAATCCAACATAGACATGATCTGTTAGTTTACTCCAGTAAGACCTCAGCTTCAGATAGTCACTCTGCTCACTGCTGCCCTACTGTCCCACCACAACATATCAGAAAAGCTGAGTTCAAACTTCTCATGATGCTGCTAGCAAAACGCAGCTCCTCAGTAGCATACTGCAGGAGCTTTTTGGACACAGCTCTGGTGTATGTTTGTCCTTCTCCACAACCCTTCACATGTTTTAATGCAGAAAATTCTATGCTGTTTTATCACTTCTATTCTCTAGTAATTGGATATAAAGCTGTGTGTTGTAACAAAGGCTGTTGTTAGCCAAACAGAGTCTGTTTGCACATACTCTAGGGTAGAATGTGTCTCCACGCTCTGTATGCACACTGCTGCCCTTGTGGTGTAATCGAAGCGCAGGCACAAGCTTTGGGATGCATGTGGATGTGGAGAGATGATGGAACTTGGGTCATGTGAAGCCTTGACTACTGTTGAATGTGCTCTTAGGTTATGTCAGTTAAATACTCTGCAGTTGATAAATAATTTCAACTTAGCTATTGTGTGCTAAAACCATAACAACAGACTTGGAGTAGACCAGTCAAGAACATCTGCCGAGATTCATGTGATTTCTGGAAATTATTAAATGGTGATCCCAGCACAGGAGCTATTCAGGAATATGGTGCTGGAAAGTTAGCCAACCATTTTTAGATGATACTCTATGTTGGATATTGAGCTGTGATACGCAAACTGCGACTTGCAAAGTTTACACTCAGCGTTTAGGCCATAAGTTTGAACAAAATGCAGCCACACCAATGACGTCTTTGACATTGGAGTGACAAAAAGTAAATGTTTAGGAAATAAGTTATCAGTGTCCATTACATTGGGCCAGTTTTAAGGTTTTTTCACAGGTAGTATGTTCCAGTGGTGGGTGAGGTGGGAGCATATCTAGTCTACAGTTTGTCTACCACTAATTCACATGTTTCAGTGGGAACTATCCACACTTTCAAAAACTACAAAACAGGTCCGTTGAATTGGCACCATGGTCTTCAGCTAGCAGGAACTTCACGTGCCTCCCATTAAAAAGTTCACTTGTACGTTATTCATACATTGACAAACGTCTTGTCTGGCAAAGCACAGCTGTTAGTGCTGAATGTTATGACCAAGGGCAAGGCTGTGATATTGAAAAGTTTTCAGAGTCTAAAGCTTCTTCTACCCTTAGAAAGAAAAAAGAAAAACTACAAGCGCAGTTCATCTTAAAGAGTCTGGGGCCCTGAGAGATTGGAGCATTCAAAACCAAAGCACAGTCTGTTCTGCTTGTTTGAAAAGCTTGAAATCCCGACATCTATTCAGGTAACAGGGGAGTGACTGCATCTGTAAACTATCAGCTCAAAGCAGCTCTGAATGGAAACTTGTTTGGTGTTTTTCTTGCTCTTCGGAGGAATGGCATGCATCAGGGCTAGACAGGGCATTAATCAGATGGTTGAATACTGTGTGTTGTGGTTTCCATTGGAGCTTTGACTTTTCCACATTGACAATTGCGTTAGCGGAGAGACGTTGCTATACCTGTGGTTGCTGTTGTTATTTGCTTTCCTGTCTGTGCTTTCTGCTTCCCACCTGCTGAGGCACCCAAGAGTGTGTGATTGGCTCAGGCTCTCTCTCTTTCCCAGACCTCACCCTGCGGGGCACTAATGGGCCCCGGTGTGATATTTAGTATCGAGGCCATGGATGTTTAGGCTTAGCTTCGACGCCTGCTGTGCATCCTCGAGTACCTGTGTGTGTGTGTTGTTGGTGGGATGTACCTCTCAAAACAAGATGGCATGCATGAACGTAAACAAACAAGGCATGTCAGTGCTTTGTGGTTGGCCTTTTTGGTTTTTTTTCCGGACATCTGATGGGCTGATATATTCATTGCCACAATTTGTAATGTATACGCGTGTGTGTGTGCGCGTTCGTGCACAAACACTTCAGCTTTGTGTAGGCGAGCACAAAGGAGAATGTTTCAAGGACTCCCTCTTGATCAGAAGCGATGGCCGCTGCAATGTGTCGCTCTCTGTAAGAATGAACGGAAATAAGCCGTTGGTTCTGTAAATGTCAAGTTACCAAAAAATAATGCCTCTGCAGATGTTGAGAAATGGCTCAGTAGTAGGGCCTGACCGATATGGATTTTTTTGACGAGAAATTAAAAAATATATCGGTGTTTAATCGGCAAAACTCCAGCCGATGATGATTATTTGTAAAGGGCTACAATCGGCCAGCCGATGAATCGGTCAGGCCCTACTCAGTAGCCTCCATATAGAAAAGAGGAATGATTGATTTGAGTAAAAACAGATATAAATCTAAGAGAGAGAAAGTTGGGATTTTATCTATTTTTTCAATATAAGGTTTCTTTTCTGTCATTTGTCATGATGTCACTTTAAGTCCTTATACAGATTAAAGTCATGCTGCTTAGAGTTGGGAGATATGAAAATGCACATTATGATGTATCTGAAATCCATTCTGTCATGATGTTCAGCCGTCTCCCATGTGCAAATTGCTTTCCCAGAGCTCTCAGCTGTAACACTTTCACATAAGATGAATCATGCGGCTGTGGCAGTTCCAGATAATCCACAATGTGCTTGCTTGGAGAATTACTAAACATCGATCATACAACATTTCTAATTAAGATATTTCTAGAAATGGTTTTAGCCTTATGGCCAAATTGCTCAGTTAAAGTCCATTGAACATATTTTGTTTGTGTTTATCTTTAAAGCCCCAGAAAAGACCTTCAAATCTTAAGTACTTCTCCAAAACATGAAAAATTCAAGTCTAAAGAGGCAACAGTGAAAGCAGTCGTGTTCTAACAAGTCTGAAGCTCAGCGATTTGGGGTTATCAGCACTGTGTAAGTGTGCTTTTGCTCTCTTTCATTGGTAGTGGTCAAACAGTACACAGAATCAAATTCAGAAGTTGTGAAATCCGGGACGCGAACCAGGGATCTTCTACCTGTAAGCCGACGGTGCAACAACTAAGCCACCATGCAAAAATGATTTTTAAAAATTGTGATGTTTTTCTTCAAAATCATAGCATATTAGACATTATTGTTCTTTAAGGGGTCAGAAATAGGAGAAGATGCATAATTTACACCAAATAAGGTAACATGGACTCATTGCCTTTACTATAGGTGGTCCAGTCATGCTTACTGTCGTGTCGTTGCCACCCAAAGGAACATTTTGAGCCCTGAAAGCAGAATGTGAAAATACCTTCTCGGGGCCTTCAAGGTGAAATAAGCATGATGTGAACATAAATATAGCAATTGTATAGCAGCAAACAGCGATCTGCTGGGTAAAAACGTAGTGAAATAATGGTGTCCACAGCAGAGAATAGGAGGTGTGTCAGAAAGGTTCCATGACTGGTGTCACAAAAGATATATTTCCAACTCAAACTACAAGTTTTCCCCTTCAGACGGTCAACCAGCACGTCTATAAAGAGATCCTGCAGCGTTTGCTTCGTTCAATGAACATCGCTGAGCTGGAGCAACCTCCCTACTCACCCCACCTGGCTCCGTGGGATTTTTTCCTCTTCTCCAAGCTCAAAGGGGTCATCAAGGGGATCCGTTCTGAAGACGTGGACGACATCAAGATGGCTGTGACGACGAAGCTGAGGAGGATCCCGGAAGAATCCTTCCAGGAGTGCATGGCGGCGTGAAAGAGAAGGCTGGGGAAGTGTGTTAGACTCCAGGAGGATTACTATGAAGGGGAAAACTTGTAGTTTGGATTTGAAATATATCTTTGGTGATACCAGTCCTGGAACTTTTCTGACACACTTGCTACAGACAGGAAGTAGGAAGGTAGCCCTCTATGCTATGGGTTAAAAAGGAAAAAGAAAGAAAGAAAAAACCCTAAAAAAACAAATCTATCTTCTATGTTATGACATTTCCACAATTCCCACGACTGCTTCTACAATCCCAGATTTAAAAATACTTTACAAAGTTGTCTAATGCTGGAGACCTCATATCTGGCAAGCCTTGAAAAGAGTGCAGATGGTACAAAGGAGTTATATTTGTTGTTCGTCCTGCCAGCATCTTTCCTGTCTGTTTCAGCTTCAGAAATATGCCAACAGCCCCCTTCAGACTACTCAGTGAATCCTAGCAACTTCCAAATAATCTGATTCCTAAACCTGTCAGAGTCTGCTCCTACAGGGGACTGGGAGTTGTCGTAGTGGAGGCTATAGAGCCAGCAATTCATTCCCAGCTTCCGCGGCAATAATTATTGGAATAAGGTCAGTAAGAAAATAAGCTGCAAATGAATATTCTTTTTCTTCTCAGCTGCCCCAGACTCCATCTCTAAGCAGCAAGGAAGTAAAAAGGAGATAAGGTTAATGTTCTGCTCGAACTGCATACAAAAACCTTTGAAACATTTTTTTTTTCTCACCAGCTTAAGAACAGTGACGCACAAGTTGCCACAGCCATTCCTGAGCCTATTTGAAGTTATAATATGTAAATTGTTTCTTAATCAGAATCCTTTTTGCACCAAAGTTGCAAATCCTTGACGGCCTTTTCTCTATTAAAGGAATAAAAGGAAAGGGGTTGTTAATAATGCATGCCTAATTGAAAGGGCATATACGCAGAAGATATTCCCACCTGTTCTTTTGATGATAGACGTGTCATCCCATTGAAGTTTAATAATGTGGGTATGATTCATACCTTCAAACAGCCTCGGTGTGAATACACTACCGGACACTTTGAATAGTAAAAGCAAAACACAAATGTCATTTTCCAATTTTCTTTTTCTTGTGAATGATTTGAAATTAAATGAGTCAACACTTGAGTATTGAAGTTGTGCTATGTGTATTTTTGTTTGTTTGTGTGTGTGTAGCAGCTGTGCAGGACAGGGGTCAGAGGAGGAGATGGGTGGCAACAGCAGACAACGACACAACCGTCACGGCAAAGATGGAGGAGCTGCAGCGCCAGGAAATCTGGAGAAAAGGATGGAGGAGCTGGAGAGAGTACGTAGACGCCACTTTGTTGATCATATTACTGGTTGAACCATGTAAACAAAAGCCAAGTAGATTGTAAATGAATGATGCACCTCATCATATAACTTACATGAGATTGTTGTCCACTAATCTCCTTCATAAAGGTTAATATTGATCTTAAAACATCAGACTTTGTTGTCTCTATTCAAAAAAGTGAGTAAATAGAGGCATCTGCTCTGAGACTGGACTCGCTCAGGGTCCAGATGAGTCAGAATACACATGTTGGCAGCTTTCATTGCCTTCCTGCTGTGAGAAGGTCAGCGGCTGTTGTTCTTGAGAGTTCTCCAAGTCTTTCCCTATCAAACAGGCTGGATGTTGACTGAACATCTGGCAGATATGTCGCTGTGGTCAATGGAGTTTCAGCAATTTATATCACCTTCCTGAGGGAGACTTTTATGTGCTGCTTTTTTTAAAGTAGGCACATAACCTTTATTGAAAAGGGTTGATAGTTTATTTGATTAAGTTTCTCTTTAGTTTTTCACTCAACTACTCTCTCTCTGATAAAACTAGTTCTTTCAGTTTGTTTAGTGGATTGAAGTCCTATCCCTACTTTCAGCCAAATACCAAATATTACAGCAGTTACTAGTCAGGAAGGGAAAGATAAAGAGAAGATTTTAAAGAAGCTGCGAGCCCAAATTTATCCACTCCTTTATGCCATTCCTGCCTGAAAAAAATAACCACATAAAAGATGTCTCTTAAGTTTGTACAGTCTTTTTAAGCATGTGTTTATTATTTTTAAGAGCATAGCATCAATGTGCACAAAAAAAGAAACCTCAACATGTACAGCACATCTATGCTGTTAAAAATACCCACAGTCGTATTTTTATGTTTAACACAATGTGGTTCTTCTTTAAAGATCAGACAAGCTTATATGCAGAACAGAATATAAGAAATAAATGTACACTTCAGTGTTCTTTACATGGGAAACAACACGTCCTTGCCCTGAAGAGGTTGGTAATCTCTGTCTCTCCAGATGTACTGTGTTTGCCGTGTCCTTAGCTACAAATCACACTTAAGTACAGAGTCCATTTTCTACACATTAGCTTCTTTGCAATCACCATTCCAAACAAATCAGCCATTTTTTTCCTCCTTACATCGAAAAGATAAAGACCTCATTGGGCCATGAATGGCGTTGGGTGGATCTGGTTGCCAACACTTCCCAGAAGCGTCTAAAAACAATCAAAGATGCATTTCCAATTTATGTTTACTGCATGACCAGATCGAGTGTTGTTAAATTACTGATTGTAAATTCACATCAATTACAAACAGATGAAAGATCAGTAATAAAACTCTTGCTTTTCCCTTGGATAAAAGAGTTAGCTGTTAGACTGTGTGACATTGACCGAACAATCATGCATACTCTTTTAATTCGGCATTCAGCTTGTCCGCCCATGCCTTGTTAAGTCCCGATGTGTTCAGTGGAGCTCTGTTATGTAGGATCTGATGGAAAAAGAAGAAAGCCATTTATTTATTGCCTCGAAGGACTCATGCTCCTTCCACATTTTAAAATAAATTTAAAAAATGCTTCCTGACACAATCTGGAATTTATAAATATCTAAAAAACCTTGATGTAGGAAAATTGGAAGCTGCTTTTTTTTTTTTTTAATGTTCTGTTTGATTGAACAGTTCAGTTAGCAACCAAACCAAGGACCTGAACTCAAAGTCTTCAGTGATCCGACCCAATACATGCATGATTTCTTCTTTTCCCATGTATTCCTGCCACTTGTCTTACAGAGTGCCAACTCTCCGACCATCAACATGTCATTTGCACCCTGAAAATAGGACACAAAATCGTCTAAATAATCAGCAAAAGAGGGAGAATCCTGTCCTGAGTTTCACAAGATTTTCCTTCCTGTACTTCCCAAAGCTTAGCTGACCCCCCAGAGCAGTGTAGATATAAACTTCAGAGGTAACATCAGTTCTACGATTGAACTGCTATCTCTATTAGATTCTGTCAGCGTTTCAGTGCAAGATGAGTCTTTGGCCCAACTGAAAACCTCTATCAGTAGAACTTTGTTCAGGTGAATTTCCACTTTGAGTCGTTTACGCCGCCGCCCAAGTTCTGATTTTCACTCTGGAAACTGCGGCTCTGCGCTGGTAGAAATTCTCCTCGGTGTTGTTGAAGAGATGACCTTTTGCAGCACAGACATGTCTTTTCCTTCTACGCTGGCCCTATCAGACACTTAACCCTGCACTGCTCCCACTGTAGAAACTCTGAATCAAATGTCACTTGTGTGGCTTTCAAGAAAAGGTTTTTTAATGTATATACTGCTGTGACCTTAGTGACCACAGTGGGAGGTATTTCTCTGGGTCAAATGACCGAAATACCTTTGAAGTCATATTTCAGACACTTATTTTCCTATGTGCAGTTTCTTTCCCTCTCATACAAGGTCAGGTGGGTTTGACAGGTCTATTGGTTTGAAACGGCCAAGACTCCAGGCTGCAGCTTTATCCTTAGACATCGCTGAAAGCTCTCAGAGGTATAGAAATGTTGTAGAATGTCATAATTGTGTATTTTCAGAAACGCCTGTTCTCCCAAGCTGAAGCACTTTCACCTCTCCTGACAATCTGAGAGACATCTGGTCTGGACTCATATTTGGCCCAGACTATTTAGTAGTTTAGGGAGGCTACAGATTCAGTCCTAAACCTCCTCATAGACTCATCAGGATTGCACTGATTGTATCAAACAGTTATAATCTGGATCATTATGATCATCATGCTAGCACCAGGAGCAGCACACATTGTCGACAAAGGAATGCTAAACTGCGAGGCTAACATTAGCTACATGTATGAAAACTTAAAATCTCATCTCCAGTTTTTGCTGAAAAAATAATTAATGGCCAACTATTAGACTAGTCACCAATTATTTTAACAATTTGCTGAATGGGTTTAAGTAATTTTTAAAAGAAAAATGGCAAAACTGTTCAATTCCGCATTCTTACATGTGAATATTTTCTAGTTTCTTTCCTCCTATATGACAGTAAACTGAATATCTTTAACAAAACAAGACATTTGATGTCTGTTTTGACTGTGTGAAACACTGATCAACATTTTTCACCATTTACTACAAAGTATTATTAACATTACAGTAAGTTGTTGCACCACAGTCGCCAGTTTGTTCACGTCTGTTTGCCCATGAGATCATGTGATGTGGTACTCTGCTCCCAACATGATAATCCTAATCATATCCTGTAGTGTGTATATTCAAATCTGGTAGTGTGTGCGTGGCTGAGATTAGAGAGAAGGATATCTGTGAAGTTTTTCCCTAATGGGCATGATGCGACTTCAAAATCTGTTAAGATTTTAGAACTCCTGCAGTGTTGGGTCCGGCTTGAATAGAACATAACCTCGGCTCAGGTTATGAAGGAGGCTTGGAGTTGGGTCAGATGATACGTTTCGACCCATTTAGAATGAAGCCGCTAATGGAGATTCAGCCTGCGTTACTGTGCTGGTTTGAAAGGAGTGCAAGAGATGTTTGTTCAGGTGTCTTTGAGAGGTCATTCTGTGAAAACTCAAAGCCGCAGTTATCTATAGTACCTTCAAAAGCAAGCATGAATAGAGTTTCTGTGGTGAGCATATTTATTTCTGCTTCATTATATCTTCCCTCCTACTGTACCTGCACGGTTGGTTTCTATGGAAACAATTTCATGCTCATCTGCAACAGCAAGAAAGTGAAATTAGAAAGTGGAAATTCAGGTCTGATCTTCATTTCCATTACAAAAACACGGCAGTTTTCAATATCTATGCGTGTCAACCTTGTGTGTTTATAGCGTCGATGCGGTCTTCCTGGCTCGCTCAGTAAGAAACGATATCAACAACAATATTCGCTGTAGCTGTTGGAGGAGGCGGACACAAACACACCGGCTTCTAAGTACAATTTGAAGGAAACACAAAAGTACTATATAAAAGGAACTATTAATCCATTGTTCGCCAGCAGTCATTATTGTGGACTTTGAAGAGTGTGTGGAATCAGGAAATAGAAAATGACATTGTTAAAACTGTCATTTCACAAAAACTCAATGCGTTCAATTCATCGTGATGCCTTTTCAAAGCAAATGTTTTTACAGGTAAAATGTGTTTTTAATAAAGTAGCCCTTGCTACAGATTTCCCACTGATTTTCACATGTTGATTACACACAATGCAGCTCTAGATTTATGGTCCACAGTGAAATAAATTCACACAGAATTCAGTTTCAGAGTGAACCACTTGTAATGTAGAGGTTTTCTAATAAATAAATATCTCTGTGGCAGAGGTCGTGTTTAACATGTTTTCATGCATCTATCTAACGTCCATTTCTCTGGGTCCTTGCGTAGCAAAACAAGCAATGCAGCCCAAACAACCTTTTCTGAAGCGACACCCTTCAGCTCCTCCAGGGGAATCCCATCCCAGGCCAGATGGGACATACTGTATAACGCTGCATTGTATCTGTAGCTCCCAGTTGCATGTAAAGTTCACTTTAATGGTTTAGACTTTCATCCATCAAGGAGGCATTGGATTGGGCCTAATTTTTTTCCGCAGCATGGCAAACCCTCCTAATGTACAACTACAGTTAAAAACAAGTCCTACATCAGAAAGTTCACACGGAGCCCTGATCACATGATGAGAGAGAGAACACGAGCTGTGTTTCTGTAACATTTATTTATGCACAACTTGCGTAACGTGCCGTGAATCACATCCTTCAGTGCAGCCGATTTTTTTTCTTTTGCTCCAAACTAGTTGCTTTTTATTTTAATTTTAAATACACCTGATTATTGTATGAAAACGTGGCAAAATCTCCAGGATGCTTGAAACAGTGCACATGGCAAACATTGGGAAAAAATGCGCCTACAACAACTGGTGCTGTTTTGATTTGGGTTTTTTCTGTTTACTGCACTTAGTATGAATTAATAGATAAATAAAAAAATAATGCTCGATACTGTTCATTCACAGTCAGACATTTAAAAGACATCCTAACCAGATGTATAAACATAATGTAATGTCAAGAACAAGACACAGTATCTGTTTTCTTACTGGTTTTAACAGGCGACATCACATCTCCCCTTTACTGGCTTCTCTCCACTGGCTCCCTGTCTGCTTTAGAATTGATTTTAAGATTTTACTAATCACTTTTAAAGCTAGCCAGGACCTTGCCCCTGGCTATATTTTAGACATACTAACCCCATATATCCCCGCACGCAGCCTTAGATCCTCAGGTGGGTCCCTCCTAGTTGTTCCAAAGTCAGGGCTCAAATCCAAAATCGACCGGGCCTTTTTGGTGAGGGTGCCTCGGCTTTGGAACAACCTACCTGAGGAAATAAGGCTGGCAGACTCACTATCGTCTTTTAAATCACTTCTTAAAACCCACTCTTTTAGACTCGCTTTCCAGTGATGTTCTTTTATTTCTCTTTTAGATTTTTTCCCATTTCTTTTCCCTTTTTATGAGCACTACCTGTCATCCTTCTCTTTTATCTCTCTTAATCTACTTTTATCTTTCTTTCATCTTCATTCCCCTGTGATGTCGTCTTTTTAATCAGTCTTTTTAATCAGTTTTACTCGTACACCTTTCAAGAGTGACCCAGTCTGTCCTGTTCCACTTTATTGTATATATTTTATATTGAGTGTTTGCCTGCACTTTTTATACATGTTTTTCTTCTTTATGTAAAAACATTTTGCGAATTGTGTTCTAAAAAGTGCCATACAAATAAAGTTAGAATTATTATTATTGTTTATTAGAGCATCACAATCCATTCTACCATCAAAACCCCAGTGTATTCATTGCCAAAAAAGTTTATTTCGATCTTTTTTTTTCTGGTAGAAATGCTCCTGTGCAGGTGTGAGAAATTCTACTTTTTATACAACTGAACCCAACACAGGGCTGTTTTTTGCCCCCTAATTCATGCACATTTTCTGTTTTCTTTGCCCATCATGTAATCATGTTTGTAACTTTTGTCTTTTCAGGAGTTGGCCAGAGAGCGTCAGGAGAACGCCAGGCTGCTGAAGGCCCACCAGGACAAAGACGATCTCATTGGAAAGCTGAAAGAGGAAATCGACTTGCTGAACAGAGTGAGTCCAGCCTCCGTCATTTTCTGCTCTGATGTCTGATATTTTTGAGTGTTCCTTTGTGTTTGCATGCGTGGGCGGCTTGTGGGGGTTGTAAATCATCATCTGGCATTTTACTGGAGTTCTGTATAATAGCTATGTGTTTTTCTACAATGATTTTCTTTCAGTCCATTAGGATTTGGACATCAACAAATCTTTATTTTTGGATTTCTGCACTTGTTGCATTGAATATTATAACTTGCCATTGACACACAATACAAACACAAGTACTTTAATGATGTCTGAGTCCTAAAAGTCAGTGTGGCAGGTGATATTTATGTTTTATTGATTTATCAAACATGATTGTATGTGTCAAGAAAATTGAGAGATTGGATTTTTTTGTCTGCTTTAATTCAAGGCTATTTTGAGTCAAAGTGGATGAACACTTACGGACAAGCAGTCCTCATGTGGCTTCTTTCACTGGGTTCAGACGAATAGTTTTTGTTGAATAAAGCAAAACAGAAAGCGATCAATAAGAAAGAAACTGTGCATTGGCAGCTGACAGCACCACAAATACCAGTCTTTAACTTGTGCCAGCCATTTTTGTTCTTTTCATCTGTTCCTCGCTTTATGTCGTTTTGATGTTCTTCCAGCCAATGTGGGCACCAAGTCGACAGTGGTTCAGCCTTTAAAGTTCAAAAAACCCTCAAATTAGAACCCTCAATGTGATTTTTAATCTCGTCCTTAATGTGTCATTTCACATTCGGTAAAGCAGAGCCACAGGCCAAACTAAATAATCACTGAACTACGACTGAGCCAGCTTCACCCAATCAGTGAGGTATTGTCAGTCTACCGTTGTTGTAAAGAAAAGATTACAATCAGCCACCATTTAGAACAATGACTTCAGTTCACAGTTGGTTTCCCCTCAAAAAATGGTTTCAGGTTCTCACTAAACCACAAGAGTGACTTTGTTGATTACAGTTGGATCTTTATTATTGAATTAATCCACACTGAGGCAAATTTTGTTCTTCTTTAGTAGACTGATATGTTTCACCATTGTACTCCAAAGGTCATTCTCCAGTGTTTGCACCTTTCACACAGTAGTTGTGATTATAAATTAGAGCAGATTTTTTAGGCCATCAGTGATTTGTGCACAATTGGTGAGGTTGTCCCCGGTGTGAATGCACAAATCTGTTGATTACAAGTCAAGCACTATTGGTGAAGGTCATTTTCTCTCTGCCGGACTCTTTCATAGTTGAGATGTTTTGTTTGCCAGAATATCTCATCTAAACAAATGTGTGACAGGACACCCGGGCAAATTCTGATTTAGCTGTATGAATTAAGTAGTCCTTTTGATTTTGATGATTGTGCATATTTCTAGCACTATTCTCCACCCTCTGAACCTCAGGTGGGTTTGAAAGGCATGTTTAAAAACAAACGCCAAAATTACTCCACGTGTCAGAGCCAGAAACTGTAAAAGCGCTTCACAAAACTGTAGAATTCTTCACTTGCCCATGTTCCTTAAAATCATGATATTTGATCAAACTCACTCTATTCTATGTGTTAAATGAAAAAATCTATAAAAAATAAACCAATTTTGTTGGGGCTGTTTGGCTGAACAGCTGGCTATGTTTACAGAGTGCAGATAGGAGATAGGTGTGGAAACTAGGAGAAAATAGAATGCATTTGATCAATAGAATAAATGCACTGTGTTTTAAAAACAGTATACTTAAGGGCAAGTTCAACAATTTCCCTGAGGTACCCTACCAAAGGGATCAGAAAGTTCTATCTTATCTAATCGGATCTCAGTTGTTGGAAGATACATTCTGCATGGTGAAATACTGTTAGAAGCTGATGTGCAGTGTAGTGGGAATAACAGTCTGTGGAGGTCATAACAATGGAAGTAGTGCAAAATTTTAATGATAATAAATAGTGTTGCACAATATTGAAATTTTTGACCAATACAGATATTAAGATTTCTGATATCGCTGATAACCGATATTACCGATGTCAATATTATATGTAAGCAACCACTGTGAGAAAATGAAAACTATTCTCAAGAAGCCCATACCAACATATCTGACATTCAAGTCCAGGACCATTAAGTAAAAACATCTGTGAAATAGCAGCAATATCAAATGTAAAGTCGAAGGCGCTAATGTTAGACAATCATCGGTTTATCACATCGGCTAAATTTGTTCATTGGACCAATACCAATATACGGGAAAAAACACTAATATCGACCGATACCATCGTGCATCCCTAGTCATTAATAATAATACATTATATTTAAAGGCGCCTTAAACAGAACTCAAGGTCGGCAAACACTGAGTTAAAGAAGAGATAAAACATCACACAAGAGGTAAGAACAGACATCTAAAACCAAGGAAAAGCACAGTCTCATTGGGCTAGCACTGGTAGGTGACCTGAAAGAGGTGAGTTTTGAGTTGTTCCAGAGCCGGGGAGCAGAGCGGCTGAATGCCCTGCTCCCCATGGTGGTGAGGCAGGCAGGAGGCACTGTTGGGTGAAAGGAGGAGGCAGATCTGAGGCAACGATATGGAATGATGATTTGTATCGCAGTCAAAATAGTAGCAGTAGCAAAAATGTCCAAGAAACTGAACCTGAGGGTTGAGATCAGTCATCTCAATCCAAGTATATGTGGTCTGAGCATTTGATGCAGATACAAATACTTACCATGATGCAGCTGCTATACGCCATGTTGTCTGGTACTACTGGTCTGCAACAGGTTTTAAAGTTGAGTTTAGTCTGGTTTCGAGATAGCAGGGCTACTCCCTAGATCTTGAAAACCTCGAGCAGACTCACATTGTCAGTTAAATCGCTGCATAACTGTGCAGAAAGCACAACAGGCTCTAAGCTTTACAAACCAAGTCCTGTGACAAAAGGACACATGCTTTTGTCTGACTGTGTGGGAAAATTCGTCTTTTCACAAAACATATCTCACGGTTAAAGTTCTTTTGTGTGGGCTGTTACAGTAGCAGGACTCTAGCAGCAGACAGAAAGCATCAATCATGTGATTCTCAAAGGTTTGTCACCCAAAATATCAAGTGTGAACACATTTGAACCGACGTAGTTCAGGTATGTTGAAAGAAAAGTGTGATAAGTGATAATATTGAGTGTTTCTAGGGATAAGAAAACACCTTTTCTCCCACCAAAATGAGACCTACAAGTCTTCCCTCAGGAAAATCAGTTAAGACGTGAGAACGCCTCGACAAGTCTTGATAAGTGGTGCTGCTGAAATTATGGCAAAAAATCAAAAAGCCTTCCACGTGGGATCGTTTCACACTAAAAGGAACCCACCAGCAGGGTTCACGTGTGTTTTAGCTTCAGAGATCGAGGTCCTGTTTCCTCCTCACACCGCGGTCAGGGTTTAGAGGTCAGTGTGTACAGCCCGATGTCTCTTTATATCCAGCAGTCCGAGGGAAACTTCCCTGAACCCTCTGAACCCTCGTCTCCCTTTCACCCCACACTGTCAACAGTCCCCCCTCAGCTTGCAGCCTTCGCCTGTGTTTTCTTGATCACCGAGGCTGGAGGTAAAACATCTCTGTTTCTGTCTTTTAAAAGGCAAACACTGCAGGATGGGAAGGATCTCAAAGACTTCCATATCTTAAATATTCAGAGAAAATAGATCTGAGCTCTTCCCTGTGGGGCTGATCAAATCTAAACAAGAGATTAGGCTCTGCCAACAAATCCAGCGGTCAGCCATGTGTACATTTCTTAGCCAAAGTCCAATAAGTGTTGCTTGGTTATTATCTGGACACTTTTTTTTCTTTTTTTATTATGATACACACAACGCATCTGCAAACACAAAGGGCGCAATATTGCAGGAGGTCTCGCACTGATAACATCACATGGTCATAAGAGAAGGACGGTCGACGCAGTGAGAGCCATCAGAAATGTCCCTGAGAGAGGCTCCTGCAGGGCCTGATGTCAGAGCTGGAGATAACAGCTGATCCAGTCTCTACAGGAAGATTGAACCCTCAGTCACTGTAGAAGTTTATTTGGGAGAGAAAGAAAAGATAAAGCACAACTGCTGGATGTGTATCTCCCCCTTGATATGCTTTGAAGACAGAAATCCTATCTCGCAAAGAGTTCAGATCCCTGCAAGCTCACACAGTCGTGACATAGATGCCGATGAGATCATCCATCTAATTATAAAGCCGGAGAGAGTTTGTGTTTTTAAAGGTCAAACCTGCGATAACTATATTTTGGGAAAGCTAAGTTGAGATGGTTGCTTATTTGAATATGCAATAGATACAGAGCAGCATTATCATTCAACAATATTCCAAATCTTTCTTTCTTTATTAGCTCCTAAGGGAAATATGTGTCTCTGTACAAACAGTAAAATGACCGCTACAGCTGAGCAGGTCGTGTACACTGGGTTTTACGACACCGTGAGCAGTGGGACGGAGCCAAAACTGTAAAGCTGCAGGTTGGACAACTTGACAGTCGGCAATAAAAAACACTATAAAGATTTATAAAGTCCAGGAAAAGCTGCAGATTTGGGAGAACATGTTTCACAGCTTTGTCATTCTGTGCGACCTCTTTCACATTTTCATCCGTCCATCCATTATCTGTACATCACTTAATCCTCACTAGGGTCGTAAGGGGCTGGAGTCTATCCCAGCTGACTCAGGGTGAAGGCAGGGGACATTTTCATATTGTTTTGATAAAAATATTAACTATAGCCAGTTTAAAGTAACGCAAGAAATCCGACGTTTGATTTAAAACTAATCTTTTCTGGGCAGCTGGTTGAGCTGGCAACCCATGTACAGGGGCTGTAGTCCCCAATGCAGCGGCCATGGGTTCAAATCCCGCTCATGGCCCTTTGCTGCAGGTCCTTCCCCCATTCTTCTCCCCCACTTTCCTGTCTCTCTCTCTCTCGACTGTCCTATATAATAAAGGCAAAAAGGCCAAAAAAATAACTTCAACAAAGCAACTTTATCTCTTCTAGTGTTGTCATGATACTAAAATTACTACTTAGATGTGGTGGCTGCCTAAATATATCGATACCGATACTGAAATGATACCACAGCATCAACTTGCAACATTAGGGAAAGTAGTGTACTAATATATGACAGAATGTTTTTATTAATTAAAAAAGAAAAACCAAGGAACCATACATTTTCATATCCAACTACTACTGGAGGAACTTTTCATCAAGATCTGCTCTTTACCTGTTCACGTCTCTTCACCTTCACTGCTTCACTGCTGCTTTTAAAAGCTTCAATAATTGCAGCGATAAGTGAGGCAGGACTTTAGCGCACCTTAAAGTCACCCACTTCCATTCTGTTTGTAGGAATTCAGTAGATTTTTTTATTTTTATTTTAAGTAGCTCACAGTAATGTGAGCTAAGGTTACCAAGTGTAAATGCCGCGTGTGCACTTAGAGATGTTTGCCGTATTTTAAGTTTGCGAAAAAGATAAACTCGTCGTTACCTTTAGTTGCCATGTCAACCTCCAATGGCGAGAAAAAGGTTTCACAAAATAAAGCACATTGTTTGTCTTATAATTGAGGGCATGATGTAATTATGTCGTCTGTCACACTCGCTAACCTGCCGCTCTTTGAATCCTTTGAACGAGTCGGCTGCTTTGACAGGTTGGAAGTGTCGGCTCCCTCGTTCTCAAACGTCTTTGTGGTGTCATAGAACTGGCTGCCGGCTGTAAGCAAATAATGCCATCTTTGCTTTGAGTGTTTGCTTGGTGGGCAATAGATGGACGACTCGTGTCTTTTTTCCACATGAAAGCTGTTCTTTGCTTGAGAAAAGAAGAACATTTTTTCGAGAGAGCGGGGTACAGTGAGTGTGCTAAAATGGGAAGTAGTGTAATTCTAGGGTGTTGCAGTATGTTGCTAGTATCAGTATAACAGTCTTTCCATCACTCTCCTCCACCACAGAGAGAGCATGATGTGTATAGAGTCACTTAGGCCTTGTCCACACGTAGCAGGGTTTTTGGAAAACCGAATATCCTCCCTTCTTCGTCTAGAAAAAAACTTACATACACACCAGCTCGTTTTTAGAAAAAGAATTCATCCACACCTAACTGCATAAGTGTGTTGTTAAGCACATTCATGTTCTACGTGAGGATGGAATAACTCCGACGACAGCAGTGACGACCAGGACATACAGAAATTATCACACCGTTCCTCCAGGAGCACGATTTCCGTCTCAAAGTTCTCCCACCAGATGGCAGTGCGTCCCGGTCTGACCCAAAACCGGCGTTGGTGTCTTTGACAGAGAACATGTCTCGGAGGTGGAATGGCAAGGTGGTGGAAAATAACCGTCCTAAACATCGTCCTTCGTCTGTGTTCTTGTACGTGGAGCGGTATCTGGGCCTGGACCAGAGACAACACCAACACAGTTCTGAGGGCATCCACGCTGTTTCCAAATGTGAACACAGGTCGCATATGTGATGTAAAGAACATATTTTGTCGCAGGCAGTGACGTTTCAAAATCTAAAACCCTGGTTATTGACGTCCACATGCAGACACATAAACAGAGGGTTCACAAATCTTTGCTCGAAGGTTTTTGAAAGGATCATTTTTAATGCCGTAAATCTGCGTTTTCATGTGGATGACAGGCCAAATCGTAGAAAAACCTTTGTTTTGTGAGATACCCTGCTATGTGTGGACAAGGACTTTTTAAGTTCCTCTACGTGTAGTTCAGCTCATTCCCTACAGTCTTGCAGTC